ATAAAATACTAAAATAAATTATGTGCTAAGAAATAACTTGTAAAATAAAATAGAAAATATATAAATAAATGTAATATAGTAAAAATAAATAAAACAAAAAATTATGTGGAAAAGAAATAGTAAATAATACTAAAAAAAAAAATAAGGCAGAAAAGACCTTCTAAGTATTGTAAAGTAAAATAAAAATAATGGAAAAAAAGAAGAAGATATTATTAATAAATTAAATAATGTAATTTAAATATAGAAAAAATAAGTTACATTTATTTTTCAGGGCTATTTAAGCTCATTTAAATTTTTTTTTTTAAACAAATAGCAAATAAAAATACTAAAAAATAATGTGGCACAAAAGATTGTAAAATTAAATATAAAATAAAATAAATATATAAACAAAATAAGAATAAGTAAATAAATGAATATTGCAGGACTATTTTAAGCGAATAAAAAAAAAAAGTTAAAAGGTGATTAAAAATTGTGGAAAAAAAAAAGATAAATAAAATATTGGGGCACAAAGGAGTGACTTTACGGCAACTTCCTGTTCAGTGTTAAAGAATAAAAACTCGCCCAGAACACCTGGCCACACAATACACACATGGCTAAAGCAAATAAAACAGTCTGGACACACTGGATCACGGCGGGAGCTTCTTTAGCCGGTAAAACAGGCTTTTACAAACAGATTTTGATGTAGCAAATGCATTAGTGTCAGAACTCAAAGCGAGAAATAAACAAGACAACGTTTAACTAACTTCAACTGAGCTGAAAGAGGGTGTGTGTGTGTGTGTGTGTGTGTGCGTTTAACCTTTAGAGCTGCGATTACTCCAAATCATGCCAGTGTTGGAGAGCAGAAACACCAGCCAACAGCTACAGAACGCAGATGCTTTGAAATATCCAATATATAATGTATAATCACGGTGATTTTGGAAGTAAACCCTCATTAAGCGAGCAGCTGATGTGAGCGGTATAACATCAGAGGCGTTCAGTAAAGAATGGCACACACACCCATTGTTATCCATTAAAAAGCGTGTTGCATTTACAGTAAACCTGGCACTGGTGTGAGTTATGCCATCTGAGCTCATTAATGTGCAATATTGCTCTGAAACTCCAAACAAAACATCCCTGATTTAATAATCGCATCATATCATGTGGTGCCAGCAGACGTAAAACACACACACACACACACACACACACACACACACACACACACACACACACACACACACACACACACACACACACACACACACACACACACACACACACACACACACACACACACAGCCAAGCTAAACCTGATAGAACACTGACAACAAAAATACAAAAAAAGTATGTCAGAAGATATTATTGTTCTTAAATATATATAATAATATATAATATAATGCACTAAATACCGTTTGGTTTAAAATACATTTTTATACTTTTCTTCAGCAAAGGTGCATTAAAGTGATTAAAAGTGACAGTAAAGACATTCATAATGTTACAAAAGATTATTTTAGGACCTTCTATTCATCAAAGAAAATCTGGGAAAAACAAATGCATCAGTTTCCACAAAAAACTGTTTTAAACACTGATAATAATCATAAATGTTTCTTGAGCATCAGATCCTCATATTAGAGTGATTCCTGAAGGATCATGTGACACTGAAGACTGGAGTAATGATGCTGAAAATACAGCTTTGATCACAGGAATAAATTACACTTTACTATATATTCACATAGAAAACCGTTATTTTACATTGTAATAATATTTCATAATTTTACTGTATTTTTGATCAGATAAATTCAGCTTTGATCACAGGAATAAATTACACTTTACTATATATTCACTTAGAAAACCGTTATTAATAATATTTCACAATTTTTACTGTATTTTTGATCAGATAAATTCAGCTTTGATCACAGGAATAAATTACACTTTACTATATATTCACTTAGAAAACCGTTATTTTACATTGTAATAATATTTCATAATTTTACTGTATTTTTGATCAAATAAATTCAGCTTTGATCACAGGAATAAATTACACTTTACTATATATTCACATAGAAAACTGTTATTTTACATTATAATAATATTTCATAATTTTTACTGTATTTTTGATCAAATAAATTCAGCTTTGATCACAGGAATAAATTACACTTTACTATATATTCACATAGAAAACAGCTGATTTACATCCTAATAATATTTCACTATTTTTACTGTATTTTTGATCTTGCTGAGCAGAAGAGACTTCTATCAAAAACATTATAAAGACACCACAGAAAGCGCATGAAGTTTAAGAGAGCGTTGAGCAGGTGATCCTCCATCAGAATAATAATATACGCGAGTATAGGATCGTTTAGTTGAGCGATTAAGAGTGAAAACAGACGATAATGAGACAAAAGCACTTGCAGGAAACATTTCCCCAAAAAAAACATCTTGTACAAGAACAAGTCTGTACAAAAACACAACCGCAGAAACCAGAGTCTGGATCCAGCTCAACAATCTAAGCCTCTCGAAACATCAGGCCAAAGCAATCAAGCAAACTCCAGGAATATTGAGATGTGTTTGCATGAGAGAGAGGAATGAGAGTTCACAGTTCCAGCTCTGGGTAAAGGTTATGACGAAGAGCCGATGTTTGGTTTATGTGAGCGATCAGACCTGTGTGTTTGAAGCAGAAGACGGAAGGGCGGCGCTTTGTTTATTGGACGTGTTTGAAAGGAGTCTGACGGAAAGCAAGCATGAAGAAACCCCAGCGCTTGAGCTTTCCCCTCGAATCTGGCGTCCATCCGGGATCCAGACGGCACAGGGAACATCTGATGATGTTTGGAGGGGAAAAACACTCTGTTCAAGGCACTTTCGCAATGAAGAAACTAAATATTTAATAACTGGAGGAAGCAAGCATAAGTCCTGAAGTATATCTTGTTTAGGGTTGTTGTACATCAAAGCTGGTGATTCCCAGTAAGTGTAATATACTGGTCAGAGTCTTTGGAGCGATTGCCAATGACTGTCTAGATATGATTGTCTTTACACGTGCAGACAGGGTGAACAGGTTTTTATTTGAAACCGGCTGATAACGAGGAACAAATACTTAGTTTGAGAGTTTGTGAAGACCTTATTATGGAATATTTCAAAGCTATGGCATGATCTAATGGTGGAGAAGTATATACATTTGATGGTTTGACACTACATTTCTCGGGGTGGGGGGGTGCATTTTTAAATAAAAAAAATTAATAAAAAATAATAAATAAAAATTTAAAAATATATATATATATGGGGACTAACATTGAGAATTAGCCTCGGCTAAAATGTTGTAGCATGAGCTTATGTAACATACTTGTCCCTATTCAAATAAACTTAAATAAATAATAATGTAAAAAATGTAATAAAAGAAGAAGAAAAAAAAAGATTGGATGGATGGATGAGACAACTCATGAAAGCCTGTCCAAAAGCATAATTTTCCTTATAAATTATAACTACGACTACCACTTGTGAGAAATCCTACTATTATAGATTATCATTATCATTATCTCTCCTTGGATTAAATCAATATTTATTCCATTAATTGATGTATTTATACACTTGGAGCTTCCACAGACTGAAAACTGAGTGAATCATTAACATGAGATCTCCGATTTCCTAAAAGCATAACAAATATTATCTATTCCATAAAACATAAACCGTGTTCAATTTGGGCTCAATATGCCAATAGTAATAGTGTTATTTATGCATAAATGCAATCATTCACAGTAAACACTTCCAAGTAAATGAATAAATGCAATAATATAATTGATGCCTATATATATATATATATATATAACGTTTTTTCATAATAAAACGCATTAGTGCAATTCCATTGTGGTGCAGTGTTGAAAATCTTCTTTAAAACTGTTATGATAAAGTGTGTCTGTTAACAATCACATTAAAGATGCAGGATATGGCCCTATTATTTATATATGTTTTAGGGTTAAAGGTTTTGAGAAATGCATTGGCTTTAACAAAATATCGTCGAGCTCACCTGTATATTTTGCTATAAAACAAGGGTAATAATAACCAATCTCAGATTTACCCACCAATAAAAGATGTCATTTCAATAAAACAAGGTCATTTCACAGGTTGGTCAGATGATGACTTACAATTTAACTGGCGATTCATAACCAGAATAGGTAATAATGTGCTTTATAGACCAACATTTAGTGTCGAACCTCCAAACAAATCATTTGTGATGTTGTTTCACTAGTGTGTGCAGGACACTATAGTTCATTTATGTAAGTGAGGAGAGTAAACTGTGACATATTATACCCAATAATTCTTCATACAGTGACTACCAGTGACATTAATACAAATTTCGGACCAAAAATTATGATGATGTTTTGCTGAAGTGTGTTTTCTGTAATTGCTAATGCTCTTTTTACACACACACTGAACAACATGAAGCATTGCTTGGCCACTGGTTGAGCTAAACTGGTATTATCTAAGTGTGTAGTTAAATTTAACAGCTGACAGATATTCAACATAATTCATGTGTGAGAGTCTAACAGAAGGACGGACAAAACCAGTCAAATATCCACTGAGTTCTGCTCATATTTATCACCATTTTCGAAACGATAGCGAATAAACTGATAATGTGAGAAGTGTCATGAATGAATAGTGGTTTGGCTGTAGTAGAAAGCGGAAATCTCAGATCTTCACTGCTAAAACAACAACAACAAGTCTTGCCTCAACTTGACTCGGAATCAGGAGACAAAGAAACGGGTTTCATTTAGGCTTTGATGTGTGTGTGTGTGTGTGTGTGTACGGTCATGGGAATGCAAGCAGAACTTGTGTAACGCTGGTCCGCCTGTACACACACGTCCCAGAGCGAGAGAGCGCTGTCGTTACAAAGCTTTAGTAAATCCTACAGGAACCAGAACAATGACACAGAGATTAGTAATGAGCGAAGCCCCACGACACGAGTCAGTGGCAGAAACCAGCTTCGCCCTTCCCAGATTTGAAGAGTGAAGAGTGACACGGCGCTCAGGTGAGCTGAGATTGCGTCTCCAGGTGTGACACACACACACACACACACACACAGGTTTAGCTGAGAGGAGGGTGGAGACGAGCTTGGTCTATCCCTGGACTTTAACACTTGTGATCTACAAGGACTCTGTACTGTAGAAGAACACCTTCAAATCAAGACTAAACACACACATCTTTAGGAGTAACGAGGTCTTGTGTTACGGTAAGAGGAATTACTCTACGACACCTCCACCATCATCATGTGGCGTTGCTTTTATGTGAAACTGGCAGGTTCATACGCCACTGTTCAGACAGATTGACATCGGTATGATGGTAATATCAATGAAACGTGATTAATTCGGGTTTTTGAGGCTGGATATTCACAGAGAATTGTTTTATAGCCTTACAAGTCTCGTCATGTTAACAGAAACTAACAGAAATAATGTGTGTGAATACAGGTACGGTTTACAGGTACGGCGCCAACTAGAAGATCAATAATAAAACATCATGTTAAAGGGTTTCAACACTGGCTAGAGCAAACAATTGTTAGAGGTTAAAAGAAAGAAAAGGAAAATGTTGCCGTTTGGTCATGAGAAATGGCCTAAAAAACGACTTTTTCTTATAAATGATCACTTTCACCTTCGATTAAATCAATATTTATTCAATTAATTTATGTATTTATACACTTTGAACATCTCCAGACCTAAAACTGAGTGAATCTTCGATGTTGTTCCTAAAAGCAAAACAAAAGATTCTCTTGCCCTTTTCAGAAAACATAAACCGTGTTCAAATGTGTCTGAAAAGAAGAAATGCTTATGCTAATAATACTTATATTTATAATATTTATGCAATTATATCACAGTAAGGAATTCCATATAAATAAATAGATGCAATAATATACAGGTGAAATTTGAAAATCGTGCAAAAGTTCATTTATTTCAGTAATTCTTCAACTTAAAAGGTGAAACTAATATATTATATAGACTCATTACACGCAAAGTGAGATATTTCAAGCCTTTATTTGTTATCATTTTGATGATTATGGCTTACAGATATGAAAACCTTTTCACAATATTCTAATTTTGAATTTGGGCTTTTCATAAGCTGTAAGCCATCAAAATTATAACAAATAAAGGCTTGAAATATCTCACTTTGCGTGTAATGAGTCTATATAATATATTAGTTTCCCCTTTTTCAAATATCTCACTTTGCGTGTAATGAGTCTATATAATATATTAGTTTCACCTTTTTCAAATATCTCACTTTGCGTGTAATGAGTCTATATAATATATTAGTTTCACCTTTTTCAAATATCTCACTTTGCGTAATGAGTCTATATAATATATTAGTTTCACCTTTTTCAAATATCTCACTTTGCGTGTAATGAGTCTATATAATATATTAGTTTCACCTTTTTCAAATATCTCACTTTGCGTGTAATGAGTCTATATATTAGTTTCCCCTTTTTCAAATATCTCACTTTGTGTGTAATGAGTCTATATAATATATTAGTTTCACCTTTTTCAAATATCTCACTTTGCATGTAATGAGTCTATATAATATATTAGTTTCACCTTTTTCAAATATCTCACTTTGCGTGTAATGAGTCTATATAATATATTAGTTTCACCTTTTTCAAATATCTCACTTGGCGTGTAATGAGTCTATATAATATATTAGTTTCCCCTTTTTCAAATATCTCACTTTGCATGTAATGAGTCTATATAATATATTAGTTTCACCTTTTTCAAATATCTCACTTTGCATGTAATGAGTCTATATAATATATTAGTTTCCCCTTTTTTAAATATCTCACTTTGCGTGTAATGAGTCTATATAATATATTAGTTTCACCTTTTTCAAATATCTCACTTTGCGTGTAATGAGTCTATATAATATATTAGTTTCACCTTTTTCAAATATCTCACTTTGCGTAATGAGTCTATATAATATATTAGTTTCACCTTTTTCAAATATCTCACTTTGCGTGTAATGAGTCTATATAATATATTAGTTTCACCTTTTTCAAATATCTCACTTTGCGTGTAATGAGTCTATATATTAGTTTCCCCTTTTTCAAATATCTCACTTTGTGTGTAATGAGTCTATATAATATATTAGTTTCACCTTTTTCAAATATCTCACTTTGCATGTAATGAGTCTATATAATATATTAGTTTCACCTTTTTCAAATATCTCACTTTGCGTGTAATGAGTCTATATAATATATTAGTTTCACCTTTTTCAAATATCTCACTTGGCGTGTAATGAGTCTATATAATATATTAGTTTCCCCTTTTTCAAATATCTCACTTTGCATGTAATGAGTCTATATAATATATTAGTTTCACCTTTTTCAAATATCTCACTTTGCATGTAATGAGTCTATATAATATATTAGTTTCCCCTTTTTCAAATATCTCACTTTGCGTGTAATGAGCCTACATAATATATTAGTTTCCCCTTTTTCAAATATCTTACTTTGCGTGTAATGAGTCTATATAATATATTAGTTTCCCCTTTTTC